GTGGAAGATGCCTCTCCTGCTTTCCTGACCACATTTTTCTTGTCCTCAATCCATTCCTCTTATCTGTCAACCTAGGCTAGGGAAGTCCTGTCGGGACGACCATGTTCCAGTACTTTTGCAGCCTTTGGAATTTCTACAGCACTTCTTGTTTCTATCACATTCATGAACCTATTATTATATATTTATTTTCTATTACTTTTTGTCTACACGTGTTCACACGTCTCACAAGAGACAAAATCGTGTAGTGGTTAACGGCGTGGACTTGCGAGTCAGACCCCCTGGGTTTGATTCCAAGCTCCATCACTGTGGTTGTGTGAACTCGGTAAGGGCCGTATTTTCTGTTTTCTCATCTGTGAAACGGGCACAACGATGGCACCCGTCGCAGGGTTGTTGTGAGGAGATGAGCGAATGCACGCACGGTGCCTAAACAGCGCCTGGCACCTGGTGATGCCACAACCGTGAGTGGCGATGATCAGCATCATTATTCTCTCACTTATCCAAATCTTACTTGGAGGTATTTTAAGCCCAGATACTCTTTCAGATTTGTTTTGTATCCCTTCCTCATTATTTCCTAGAATGATGTTATGTCAAGGCCCTCAAATATTTGTTGAATAAATAAATGACTCTTAGCCTCGAGAAATCTCTAGAGAAGGAGATTGCTATAGGACTGTCACTTCCATGGCAACCAGCAAGTCAATGTCCATGCTGATCTCACCTGGCACTTAAGCCTGTTTTGTTAAGAGGGGAGAATATTTGTCTTAAAATCAGTCTTCTCAAATAGCACAAGAAGGCTTTTCTTCTCCACTTATGAGCTAGACACCTCACCTTAAACTGTAATCAGGAAATGAGCCATTTGTGGTGGGAACACTGGAATCAGGGTTCCTGAGCCCTGTGATTTACCATCAGCTTTCTGGGAACATAAGACAAATGTTTAACATAAAACTAAATTGTACTAGGGGCACCTGGGTGGCTCGGTTGGTTAAGCGACCGACTTTGGGTCAGATCATGATCTCATAGCTAGTGAGTTCCAGCCCCACATCAGGCCCTGTGCTGACAGCTCAGAGCCTGGAACCTGCTTTGGATTCTGTGTCTCCCTCTCTCTCTCTGCCCCTCCTCCGCTCACGCTCTGTCTCTCAAAAATGAATAAATGTTAGAAACAAGACTAAATTGTATTAGATGATACATTTCTTTGAACCACCTGGTGAAATGCGTTCGCGCCCTTACAAACTGTAGCCGTTACCTGCCTGTTCCTGTGTGTGCGCTGGCCAAGCCCATCTAATGAAGGTTTTATTTCTCTGGAGGTTTAAATGGGTCTGGGGGCTTGTGGGCCAAGAGAACATCAGAAGCAATTTAGAAAATGATGAAAACACCTGTCCTTCCGAGGCCATCCTTCCTCTCTCCTCCTGCCCTGAATGCTCCACCTCTCCCTCTCAGCTGGATCCTTCCCAGCAGCATTTTAATAAGCTTCAGTGTCTCCCAAATTAGAACCGAACACAACTGCCCTGCTGCGGGCTCTCACACTTGCTCTCTCGCTCACAGCCAGATTCGTGGGAAGAGCCGTATATCTTACCGGCTCCATTCTCTTACTTCCCACCTGCTCCCCAACTCGGTTTGACTTTTTGCCCCATTAGTCTTCAAGGTGCTCAGCACCCGCCCTCCGCCCACTGAATCTGGTGCACCCTCTCTCTCACTTCTCACTACACAGGTGACTCTGCGGCCCTCCCCGCTGACCAGGACCTCGCTGCCTCCCCCCATTTCCTCCTCCTGGTCTCCAGGTAGTTTCCAGTGTCAACAAAGAGGGTGTAACTTGCCTCGCCTTTCTGCTGCGCGTACACAGAAGTACATACATCATTCATCAGGCTGTGTATTTATGTTTGTTTTCTTTCTGAAATTGAATCATAGTGTTCACATCGCTTTGTGATTTCCTTCTCCTATTTGGCGTTATACACTAGACAGTCTGTAAGTCAGAAAAAAACATCCCTAACGCTACCTTTACATCTTTTTATTTTGGCATATAAATGTGTGTATATCAGACAGAACTTTTAGCACACCAGGACAAGTCATTACATTCTTAGAAATTAGATCAGATTGTGCACCTGGGGGTTCTCTTGAGCTTCCTGGGCAGCAGGACCAGTGGCCACAGTTGCAAGTGCACAGATTTTAACTGGATGTAAGGTAAACGGAGCCTAATTCCCCTTGGCTTCCAGCCCCACCCCGATAGAGCCATGTTATCTTTAGAAGCATTGAGTAGCTCTGTGAAAACACTGGCTCCGTTATCTGTGTTTTGGGTTTCAATAGGAAATTAAAAAATTTTTTTACAATGCTAAGCAAGATGACATTTGACTCAAAGGTCCTGAAAACACTTGTGCTGTCTCCTTCAAAGCTGTCACCTTGGGAGGTAGTAGCCATGTTCCAATGACAGTGCCACGTGCTCAAATGCTCTGTGGAAATTTTCCTTGAGTCTAAGCACCTTTCACTTTCCTTTTTCTTTTGAATTTAAAAAGTAACACCCACTCTTGGTTTACCAGCTGAGTAAAACACAGATAGCTGGGGCCCTCCCTGGGTCGCCCTTGCTAACACTCTGCGGTATGCTGTAGGGGTGAAGAGAGAGGGAAAGTCCAGGATCTGTTGACTGGAGTGCATCGCAGAGCCATGTTCCGGCCCCAAAGGCCAGATCCTTTCCTTACAATTTCCCAACACCTTCTAGGAGTCTTCTGAAAATTCTAGTTATCACAACAAATATTTTCAAACCCTACCCTCTTAAAATAAAAATCAGGGTAGCCAAAAGTCCAGAAAATTAAAAGATCTCTATAGGGGCGCCTGGCTGGCTCAGTTGGTGGAGCATGTGACTCTTGATCTCGGGTTGTGGATGAGCTCCACATCGGGTATAGAGATTACTTAAAAATAAAATCTTAAAAAAATAAAATAAAAGATCTGTATATTCCTTAATTTTTAGTAGACTATAATTGCTTCCATAGGGATATTTTCCAAAGTTGAATTCCCATCATTAACAGAACAGTTGAGCCAAATGAATTTTCCCTTGCAATTCAAAGACAAAGGGGTTGACAGTAACAAAACAAAAAATCCAAAGCAAACAAAAAAATTCCAAAGAGATAACTCAGGAAGAGGACAAATAGCTGCTGAGGAGAACTTCTGGATATAATGACAAAAACTCAATGGAATTAATTAATTAAGATATTAATTCAAAATATAATTTAAAACAATACTGATGGGACAGGGAACAAAGATGGTCTCTTATCACAGTCCTGAGAAGACTGGGTCAGGGAGCTGGGTTCTCTCCTGTGGCTGGCCAACAATAGCCTACAGGACAAGATGCCTGCTTTTGAAAGGCCAGCAAGCTGAGAATGATTTTACATCTTTAAATATTTGAAAAAAAAAAAAAGTTTAGTGACCCACAAAAATAAAATGAAATCCAAATTTTAGTGTCCATAAATACAATTTTATGGGAACAGAGCCGCATTCATCCTTTTATGTATTGCTGATAGCTACTTTGCCTCACAACGGCAGATTTGAGTAGTTGAAACAGAGACCACATTGCCTCCAAAGCCTAAAATATTTACTACTTTTCTCTTTACAGAAAAAGCCTACCAATCCCTGTTCTAAACCAGATTTTACTGCCATCGACTTTGTGTGACCTTAGGCTGGTCTCCTCCCCTCTCTGGATCCACCTTTGCAAAGGAAGGGGCCAGGATCCCCAGCCGAGGTCCAGAACTGCGCTTGTCGGACAAGGCCGAGCGGTCTTCACCCTCTAGCGCCACCTACAGCTCAGGAAGAAAACGGCAGGCGGGAGGCGGCCTGTGGGAAGGACAATCACTGGGCGACCTAAGCACAGCCTTCTTCGCCGGAAGGCTCTTAAATGAAGGCTCTTAAATGAACTCGCTGGAAAATCTCCCCCAGCTGGTGCCATCAGTGGACAAAACCCTGACTTTACAGACCTTTTAACCCGAGAGACCACAACTCCAAGGGGAAACCTCTCCTCCAGCATTCACTTCAGGAGTACTTGCTCCCCACAAAATAGAAGGAATGCAAACCACGAATTAGTACCGAGATGTGGAGAGAGTAACGTGTATGGGTTTTCTAGGCCTGGAGGAAGAACGAGGAAAAAGCTCGTCGTCTGAAAAACCCATCTCCCGCCCACGAGTCGCCATTCTCCATCTGCGCTTCATGAGACTCACCGACGTTAGTTCTGAACCTTCTGGTTTTAAAAAACCAGGTAAGCAGATTTTGCAGAGCCGAGGAAACCCATATTGAAACAGCGCAAATAAAAGAGCAAGGTGGTTGGTTCCGCCCGCTCTGAACCCAGCCTCTCAGCCTAGAGAGTCTCACGGGAGCCTCTGGGCCCGACGCTCCCAAACATGAGGAAGACCAGGGCAGGCTCGGGCCCCTTCAAAGCAAAAGACTCATGTCGCAGAAGTGCTGCCTTTCAACCTCCCATAAGCCCCGAGTGCTGTGGAGCGTGACACCTGTGTGCTGTGGCTGCAGAAAACCCACCCCAGGGGCGGCACGTGTCCTTCAGACATGGCCACCCCCAATCCTCCCGCCTCGAACCCTCCGGTCGGTTATGTCTAACCTACGTTCCCCAGTCTGGGCCACTCTTGTGATGTGCCCCGAGCAGAACACAGCAGAAGGGATGTTCTAGACCGCTGAGCCCGGAAGAGGACTGGAAGCTTTCACTTCCTCCCTCTTGGAACCCAGCCACCAACCGGTGAGGAACCGTAAGCCTGACCGCTGGGCGATCGGAGGCCACGCGGAGGGGCCGGGGAGGGTGGGAGGCCAGCTTGGACGCGGAAAGCAGCCACACGACACCTCAACTGAGATGGGCAAGACCCCCCGCAGCTGAGCTTAGCCAAGCTCCAGCACTGTGAGGAATAATGCTGCAGGGATCAAACCTCCATTTCTGGACTAACTCTTCGAGGCAAGGAACAGACTCAATAATTTGGCATGAGTTTTCTAGGTGGTGTCAAGGGCCACCAACTTACTTCATCATCTTCCTCTTCATCATCATCAGATTCAAGAACACCATCCTGTAGCTCCTCTATAAAGAAAAAAATAAATGAATAACTGCAAACACAGTTGGGAGTCTTGGCCAACAAAATCCTTCAGCTGCTGTAGAGGTGCGTAAACGCGCTAATGAGAATCGGGTCACCTTAGAACAATTTGGTTTCTGGGGCCATTGCGGCCACAGGTTGCGATCATCTTCAGCAAATTAAATCTCTCCCCGAGTTTGACCAGAACGCATTGGTAGTGGCGCGAGCAAAGTTAAAAGCTAGCATACAATTTGAGAGGAATTTAGAAAAAAAGAAATTAAACTAGTGTTGCTAGGCATCGAGCTAGATGCTGTACACGTGTTATTTCCTCCGTACAAAGATTTGGTTGACTCTTCTCCCCACTTTATAGCAAACAGCAAAAGGAGGCATACAGAGGATAAGAGATTTGTTTACGGTCACACTCCCGTAAGTGACAGAGCTGAGATTCAACTCAAGCCTTTTTTTTAAATCCCATGATTTTCCCACAGAAGCTGGGGTAGCAGCCGTGGCAGGTAGGGTTCCTGAAGGCTCCCGTGGTTCACTGCTAGATCTTAAGAGTTTATATATAAAGGAGGGATAATAGCAAAATGGAATCTGAGAAAGGACGAGCCTCTGTGTTTTCATCTGTGAAATGGGGATCAGACCACTTACTTCCTAGGGTTGTTGGGTGGGTGGGGGGAACTTCACAGTATACCAAACTAAGCCACCTGGCCCAGGGCCAGGTACACAGTGGCTATTAGAGAAGTTTGGTTACTTTCTCCTCCACGAAGCCTTCCCTGACCCCTCACTGGGCAGTCACCCCTCAGTCTGCTGAACACTCAGCATTTTCTCTAGACAGCATTGTCCTGGAGAGTGGTACTAGACAGTACCATACTGGACAGCAGTCTGATAGTACTTGCCACTTTGGGATGATCAGTTTACTCATGTATGAATGGCTATGGACTTGTCTGGGCATCTTCCTCACCCATTGTACTGAATTGTGAGTCCCTGAGAACAGAGCACCGGGCTTACTCATCCCTCTATCCCTAATGCTTCTTCCTTAACGATCATTTGTTTCTTGAACAGATGACATGAAAGTAAAGAGAGCCCGAGAGAAGAGAGGAAGTCAAGTAGGAAGTAGGAGGCAAGGAGCCAAAGGCTATTCTTGAAGAGACTGCTCAGCATACTTAGAAAGGGGGCAGATTAAACTTAAACCCCAAAACTATTTCATAGAAGGAATATGTAGAAGCCCCAGGACACCCACTGTCCTTGACACAACCCTCATTCTAAAGGGAAGGACTCTCACGGACTTGGCTAGACCAAGGCCTGCAGGACACCAACTTCTGTCCCCACCTCAGGGGGCTTGCACACCTCCACGCCCATCACGGCCCCACCCCTGTCACGAAACGCTGCTTAAGTCAAGAAAACTACCTTGCAGATGGGGAAATTACGCCATTCTGCACTTGAGCTGAAGCTCCCTCACCTAACTTCTGTGCCCTCCCAGCGCACGTAGAGCTCTGCTCCGTGACACCTGCAGGTAAATGCCTATCAAGCAGGTGGCTTTCGAAACGGGGGTGCTGCTGTATTCATCAGCTGTGGACATTTCTTTTTCCAATATGCAAATGCCCCCTCCCACTTTTTAAAAAAGAATCTTAGACGTTCCGTGAAGCCACAGGCTGGTCCAGCCACAACCCCTCCCCTGAGCCTGTTGGCTCAGACTCATCCTATTCCCCAGAACAATCCAGTCCTGTGAACTTAATTAAGTACCTTATAACTGTCAGTTCCTCCTCTTGGGGGTGACAGGGACATCAGCCCTGCTTCCCGCACTGTCTCCTGGGTTGTGGCACGGCCAGCTGCCCTCACTCCAGTAACTAACAGTGAGTGGTGCTCGGAGCCATCAGTGTCCTTCCTTTCCTGCGGCCCAGCTGGCGATGCTGGCTCTGCCCTGCTCCCGTCCTCTCCTCAGGGACTGGCCAGTACCTGCCAGGCCCCCCCCCTTGAGGGCTGGAGTCATAGATGAACCTCCCTGTTGCTGCTGGTGGCGGTCACCTCTGTCTGCCACGTCCCTTAAGCTTCCCCAGGGCAGTCCTTCCCTACCTGTGGGGTTAGGTTCCTAAAATACTCTGGAATTTCAAACCTTAAAACTTTGGGGCGCCTGGGTGGTGCAGTCGGTTAAGCGTCTGACTTCAGCCAGGTCACGATCTCACGGTCTGTGAGTTCGAGCCCCGCGTCAGGCTCTGGGCTGATGGCTCAGAACCTGGAGCCTGTTTCCAATTCTGTGTCTCCCTCTCTCTCTGCCCCTCCCCTGTTCATGCTCTGTCTCTCTCTGTCTCAAAAATAAATAAACGTTGAAAAAAAAAATTAAAAAAAAAAAAAAAACTTTATAGGAAAAACAGTACTAGAGAACTGAGATGGGCCCGAATGTATGAAAACCCATACGCATGTTTCACATGTTTACTAAAATAGAACAATAAAGCCAATACGCTAGAGATTGTGGCAATGCCATCCGACTTATCTTAAACTAGTAAGCTACTACTAATTCATACTCTACTGTTAATGTCTACTTGAGGATGAAGCCCAAATGGGGTGGAAACTCCAGCTCTCCCCTCTGTGGCTTTCACAGTGATGCTGGTACACCCATTCATTCTGACTCCATGCTCATGACACATATCCTAAGGCAGCTGTGTGTGTGTGCCTCGTCCTCCATTCAAACGTTCAATGACTTCCTCATTTTGTTTCAAAGGATCAGACTCCTAAGTAATAGGGTCTCTGGGGACCTGCCACTGTCCCATGGATACAGAATAACTGAAGTGCTTCCTAAAAAAAAGAAATACTTTTGACACTCATTATTGAAACTGGAACTTACTGAGCAAAGCAGGTGTACGTCAAGCCCCTTCTGAATATACCAGAACTCCACCCACGATAACTTCCTGACAAAGCACATCCCTCACGGAAATGTCTAACTGACCCTCCCTCTTCACATTCTTCAGCATGTTAGCTTAAGGGCCAGTTTTACAGACGACAAAGAGACGGTTTGGGGCCAGAGCGCAAGGGGGACCGCCCCTGTGGCTTGGCTGCCAGGAAGGAGGGGAGACCGACAAGAAAATGGAGGCGCACGGGTCTCGATAGACTGGAACACAAAGCCAGCCTTGAAGAAGATTCCGGGCCCAAACGTGACCCCGAAGCCACAGAGGACCCCCACTCGCCAGGGACGGAGTTCTCAGCTGTTCCCTGCAGCAGTTCCCTCCTTCCCCAGCAGTGGCCTCTCTTCTACCCACAGCCGGTGAGGGAGCGAGCGGAGTCCCGACTGCTGTCACGGAACAGCCGCATTTTATTTCGCTGTGTTTTGTCGATCCATCCGCCCAGCAGAGTGGGGGTTCCAAATCAGAAATGCAGCTGTTGGAGAAAGCAAAATTCTATTCCTCGCTCACCTGAATCTGGGATGAATAGCCAAGGGGAGGATGTTCAGATGGAAATGTGCCCCACCCAGCCTGAGGGAGTGAAGGTTTCACTAGCTGCTCTCCCTGCTGCTTCCTGTTGATCAGGAGCCTCTAACGTCCTCTTTCAGCCTCTCCATTTCTGTGCTCGTCTGAGGCAGGGACCCACCACCCCGGCTGCGTGTGGGGATCACCTGGGAGCTTTAAACACTACCCCCCTCCCCAACCTGTGCTCTGTTTCTCAAAAAGAAATAAATGTAAACACTATTCACACCTGGGGCCCCCCTGGAGCTTCTGACTTCACTAGCATGGGGTGCTGCTTTGGGGACTTTAAATCTCCTCAGGTGACTGCCATGTGCAGCTCAGGCCGCGAACCATGAGCCACCTATGGGCTTCCTCCAGTGAATGGCTTCGGGCAACTGTTTCTTGGCCTTGGTCAAGCTGCTGACTCAGGAGTAGAGATCGGGAGATTCATTTTTTCACCTTTGCTCACGTGCTAAGTAGGATCTGTGCACTTGGACTTTGAGTGATGTGGGCTGCTGGGTGCCTCTGGCACGGGTACGAGTCAGGATGAAGATGTCAGGAGTCCACAGAAAGAGCTAGAGCCTCCCCTCCATCCTGGTCCCATCCAAGGCTTCCTGCACCTTCCTTTCCTGCTTACTATGGGATGTCGATTGTCACGGTAACGGAGAAAGCCTGAGAGAACGAGGATCATCTCCTCCATGGCACCAGCGGGCAACATAAGTTTGTTTTGAAAGCGTGAATGCACGCGGGAGAGTGACATTTTCTGTGGTGGTGCCACGGAGGTCGGCATTGTTTTCCTTATCTGGCCCTGGGACCCCCAGAGAAGCCCTGTGAAGCGGGGAGAGAACGAGGAGGGGGAGGTCCACATAAAGAGAACGTAAGGGTAGAGCAGAGTTTCTGCGGTTGCTTTTGAATTCTTTTTGTTGACTCTAAGCCTGAAGTGTGGTGAAAGATCGTTGATCCTGGGACAATCTGGACTGCCTTGTTGGTGGGTTCAGTTGGGTCTCCCCACCTCCCTTAAAGCCCCTGAATGGATTCCAAGATATGACAAGCCTTCCTAAGAAAGCCTGTGTATCCTTCCAGCACACATGAGAGATGCACAGACAGATTATAGCTTCCTGCTTTGAACGGACCTGAATTAAGCTGCTTGATGATGAATTCGATCTGGCGAACCATTTCAGCATTGCCTTCTTTGATGAAGCAGCGGAGGACGTACTCCATTCCCTGGGGCAGTAGACAGAGTAAGAGTTAGTATTTTAGTTGTTTTGTGGGGGAGAACAGCTCTACCCAATTAAAAAAAAAACCTCTGGCAGGAGAGTAGGGATATACACAATAAAGATACCTCTGCTCAGTACTAAACATTCTTCTTGTTATTTTTCACAACCCACAGTGAAACTGCTTTCTTCTTGGTTGGCTATCTGACCTAATTATAAAACGTTTGGCAGACAACAACAAAAACCTATTGTACAGAGAACTGGGGGTTGCCAGAGGGAGGTGAGGTGATAGGTGAAATAGGTGAAGGGGATTAAGACAAACTTCCTGTTATAAAGTCAATAAGTCGTCACAGAGATAAAAAGTACATCAGGACTACAGTCAATAATGCTGTAATAATGTATGGTGACTGTGCTTGTCTTGAGCAATGGATGTACATCTGAAACTAAAAGAACACTGTATATCAACTATATTCTCATAAAAAGTGAAAAAAATCTATTGTAAAATTTAATTGCATAAGTATTCCCTTTAGTTTGGGCAATGTGTTGTTTTGGGAGGTAATTTCTGTCCTGTGATTTCTTTACGTTTATACACTTCCTTCTGGATTTTAGAAACAAAATGAAGAGTAAAGCCATCTGTTTAGAGAAATAAATGAACAAACAGAACCTCTTTTTAAACAGCTATTGTTCTTCTTCTATCAAAAGAATTATAAAGGCACCATATTGCATAATATTTACTTTGTTACAAAACACTGACATCAGAACTCTCAATACTAGCTAACAGGATTGCAGGGAAATGTAAGATACCAACTTAACCACAGGTATCTGTTTCCCCGCCTTCCTCTTTCCTTGAGGGATCTGAATGAGCACGTGTGGCTGGAGCTGATGAGACCTTCTTGCCATAAGAGGAAAGTGTATCTAATAATGACCCCAAAATAGAGGAAGCAGACTCCAGAGGTCCCAGGAGAGAAATGGATCCAGTTACACATGAACCCTGATCAAGGTCTGCCTGATGCTTACGCCTGGACTTTTCAGTTAAATGAGCCAATATTTCCCTCTTTTAATGCAGGCCTGTTTGGAGTCAATGGCTGTAAGTGAATCAAAGAAATGTCAAGTGCAGTTTTGAACATGGTGAATTCCCATCGTGTAGAGAAGAGCATTACCTTCCAGAAGGCTAAGTCTGGATTAGAATCTGAGTTCCCTCATGAATTAACAGTGTGACCTTGATCAAATTACTTAGTTCCTCCCAACCTGTGTCCTCAACTATAAAATAAGGATGGCAACGCTGGTTAACATGAAATCTTTAAAAGGTAAAGAATCTAATTGGGTGTTGGTTAGGTAGATACATATGTTTGTCCATTGCATTGAACTATATAAATTATACCTAAAAAAACAGCATCCAGTCCAAGTGCTGGTACATAATAGATGCTCAATAAATGGTTAAGGGGAGTCGGGGTGGCTCAGTTGTTTAAGGGTCCGACTCTTGATCTCAGCTCAGGTCTTGATCTCAGGGTTGTGAGTTCAAGCCCTGAATGGGGTTCCATGCTGGGTGTAAAGCCTACTGAAATGGTTAAGATCGTTCCTGCTGTGTTTGGAAGGGATTTGTGGCTCAGAAGACAGATCTGGTAGCCGAGGCCAAGGGAATAAACAAGGTTCCGGGTGACAGCAGAGTGAGAGGCTTAGGACAGCACCTTTGAGAAGGGAAACATTTAACGGAGAGGCAGGCAGAGACAGGCAAGCGCACAGAGGAGAGCATGAAGGAGTGGTCTGGAAGGGAGGAACAACTCTGGATAGTCTTTGAGTCAAGGGAAGAGGGTATCAAGCGGGCAGGAGTCTGCTCCAGCCCAGGCCAGACTGTCTGGCTGGGATTTCAATCCTGGGGAAGAGCTTCATGGCCGACAACTGCACCAGCGCCGGGGGCAGGAGGCTTTGGAGCAGGCATCGGCGCAGCCCTATTGATCTGAACCACTCTCCCGTCCCAGACCTTGGCAGTCTCTTAAAGTTCAAATGGCCTCAGTGCACTCGTTTATCTTCTTCTCTGTTTGGGGGGGGGGGGGGGTGGGGTGGTGGTATTATTTTAAGACCACCATCATAGCATTTGGTACCGATATAATTTCTATGTTTTCTTTGTCGTTTTCCACAAGCATACGAATGTTTTACCTGGTTGCAAAAACAGAGTTCTTATGATGTCATATTCTCCTCTCCTTTTGGGAGTCCAGTTACACATGTGTGAGACCTCTGGGTATTGTCCCCCAGGTCTCTGAGACACTGTCCCTTTCCTCCACACTTTTTCTCTCTGGCCTGGCTGATCTCTAAGGGTCACGCTCTAATGTCCTATAACACGAATCTCTCCTCCCCACTTGGTCCCTGTCCCTTTACTTCTGTTTTGTCCTGCCTTCCCTGCCCCTTGCCCTGGATGTCCTTCCTGCAAGCTGCCTTTCCTGCTGTCTGATCCATATCACCTCCCTTCTTTTTTTCTTAGCCTACGTGTTTTCTTCCTTGGTGTCTCCTTTGGTTGAGAATTCCTCTCACCAGAAGGACCATAATGCAGAATTTAACCAAGTCCATTTTCCCTTGTTCCGTACTGAAATGATTCCCCTCTCCCCCAAAGCAATAGGCAATTAAGTTTCATTGTTCAGTGTGACCACACAGAATAGTTCCTAATTGAGTTTTTATCTCTGGCATAACTGTTGATGTAATTTTAGATGACTAATTAGGAGATTTAGCAATTCTTCTAAGTAAGCAAAATCAAGTGGAAGAACATGTTTCACTGGTCTCAAACTGAATTTGGCCTGTCTTTTGACTGTGGAAATATATTTAATCCCTTCTTCATAGCATTTAATATGCACACAGTTGAGCTGGTTCCGCATGTTATGAGAAAAAGGACAAAACTCCAGTGGTTTTGCTGATTAGATCCAGAAACACTTGTTATCGCATACGATGCTAATCACCTGAAGCTTGTTTTATGCTTAATCCAACAGCACTAATGTAAACACATCAAGTATTGAATTCACTATTTACCAACCACACCAGGAACCAGACAGCTTTATCGTCTTTACCAGAGTGTCTGTCCCACTTGGTTGCTGTGAGAAGGTCTGCAGCCTCCGAGTGTTTGGACCACACCACTACTCACTCCTGCCGCAAGTCCCCTAGGACTCCTGCAGGTGAATTTCAGTGATACTTTCTCCATTTCACTGTTTTCCTGCTAAGCTTCTACTATGAAATCCATAGGCATTCCCAACGCCCCAAATTAAAACGAATCATTAAAAAAAAGTCTATTAACTTTCCAAAAATAAGCCTGTTGGGAACTTTCTAACATGGTAGTTCTTAGGAGTTAGGGATCCCTCGAGAATATGATAAAAGCTCCAGATTCTCTCTCCAGAAAACTGCAAATACATATCTGGCATACAATTCCAGGGAGTTCATAAGCTACGTGCAAGCCACGGGGCCCAGTCTCAGATCTCCTTGCTCTAACAGCTTCTGAACCGTGGCACTGATTGAAGCTTACGAATTTCTCAAGCATATTTGCTTTCTTTCTTTTTTTTTTTTTTGTAAATGTTTATTTATTTATTTATTTATTTTTTTTTTAATTTTTTTTTTTCAACGTTTATTTATTTTTGGGACAGAGAGAGACAGAGCATGAACGGGGGAGGGGCAGAGAGAGAGGGAGACACAGAATCGGAAACAGGCTCCAGGCTCTGAGCCATCAGCCCAGAGCCCGACGCGGGGCTCGAACTCCCGGACCGCGAGATCGTGACCTGGCTGAAGTCGGACGCTTAACCGACTGCGCCACCCAGGCGCCCCAATGTTTATTTATTTTTGAGAGAGACAGAGACAGCACGAGCAGGGGAGGGACAGAGAGAGAGTGGGGCAGAGAATCCTAAGCAGGCTCCGTGCTGTCAGCACAGAGCCCGAGGTGGGGCTCAAACTCACAAACCTATGAGATCATGACCCGGGTCGTAGTCAAGAGTCAGACGCTTCACCAACTGAGCCACCCAGGTGTCCCTCAAGCACACTGTCTTACCATTGCCCTTGCTTCCTCACGAATGGACGGAATAGAAAGGATGCTGTACAGAGCTCCGTTCACATACGGCTGTATCTTTAAGGGGAGAAAAAACAGCCAATTACAAGTTGTCACATACCGTACAAGTCAGTGATCAAACACCCAGCTTGTGAACAGTGTGGCTCACGAGGAGAGAGAGCACTACCACCTTCTTCAGCTCCAGGACACATGTTTCCAAAGGACAGATATCTCCATGTCCAAATATGGAGATATCTCCATATCTGCATGTCCCAGTGACAGCTACAACGAAGAGTTCAAACCCAAGTTCCTTACTGGCTCCCAAAGCTCACTCCTGCCATATGCCACTGCTTAACTGTCAGCCTGCTCATTCAGGCCAGAACCAGTGGAGTCATCATCGAATGCTCTCGCTTCTGCTCTCCAGTGTTGAGTCTCCAAGCTGCCTTTGATAGGAACCCTTCTTTTCCACACACACTACCACGGTCCTTGTTCGGACATCCTCCATGACCTAGGCGACATCGATCCTCCCAAAAGGTCTCTGCCTTTGATGTTCACACGTCAGCCCAATAATCCCATCATTGCCAAAATTCTACAACGTGGGCCAAATCGTCCCTCTTCCTACCTCGTAAACCTTCCCTAGAGCCTACCTGGAAAGTCCTCACTCCTCAGTACGGCACACAGGAGCCTTCGAGGTGCGGCCTCAATATCGTGTCCCCCTGCCCCTCCCTTCCTGCACACATCCCACGTTACTTACGGGCCCCTCCCCCACCCCCAGCTCTGTTTCCTGCACATCCCCCCACTACCATACTGGGTTCATATTTATACTTCTGTCTCCCCTATTGTGAGCTCTTCGAGGACAGGACTCATGTTTTACTCACACAGGTAACCCCAACATCAAGCCACACAGGACATGGTACATGGCAGGTACTTGATAAATGGCAGCTCCCTTCTGAGCAAATCTTGTGCTACACTCTCCACAGCAGTGAAGGGCTCACGTCCCACCCGTCTTTTCTGGCGCTGGACTTTATTGTCCCTTAATCTTTGCCAATCTAATGGGTAAAAAAAATAATAAAAGGCGTCCTATGGCTGTTCTTTCATTTTCCTGACCACTGGCCAAACTGGTCATCAAGATTTCCTGTTCTGTAACTTGCCCCCGTGTGTACTTTATCTTCTTCTTCTGACTTGTATTTATCAATTCATAGGAGATCTTCATGTATACGGGAACTTTTGTCCTATGTGAGGCCAATTTTTCCTCCGGGTAGCCTCTGTCCTTTGACTCTTATCATGGCGTCTTTTTCCATATCCAAAAAATCTACTATTTACAAAGTCAAATATGCGTATCTTTTTCTTCATGGCTTTTGGGTTTCGTCTTCCAAGACTATGACTGCCTCACACAGGACCCATGCACGGAGCATTTATTTGTGTGGCAAACACACTTCTAGGCTCTAACATGTGTACAGGGAGACTTTCCAGTTCATCTTCAAGGCAAATGCATTTGTGACAATTACAAGATTTACATCTGTCGGTCTATTCTGTTCTCGGAGGTAGCAAGCATACTGGTGCCAACACCTGAAACCAACATTTACTATCAGAGACAAACTTCCCACAGGCTTCAACCACCGTAGTTGAATAAAATGGAGAACAGAGTCTAGAAGGAGTTGAGGGCTCCTGATCTGAAGCCCTCAAGCACAGCAAGCACTGTCACCACCACGGAACCCTCGCTAGCTGAGGCAGCGGGGTCGCTCAGCTGGTGGGCCAGGGGACCTAGGGTATGAGAGAAATGAACAGAGGGGAGCTGTCTGCAACGGGAATGGAGACAGGGAAACCAAGTGCCTCACTCTGACCCAGCGGTACTCTGCCCTGTCCTGCTAAGACACCCCTGTACTTGATCTGGCTAAAGAGGCCAGGTTTTTGCTGAGGCTTTGGCCTCAGGGGCAGAGTGATGTCGTGGTTTCTGCACAGGCATCTGTAGAAAGCAGGAGAGAGAATCCTCATACTGTTTATAAGTTTCTGTTAATTAGTTTATCGAGACCTCCACCACTTTATTTAAAAAGGGCTTGTGGCACACAGGTTGGACGACAGAAAATCACCCCAGTATTGGGGAGGCCACGGGGGAGAGCAGGAGCTGGTAAGGCCATTCTGCGGGACAGCGTGGCGGGACTCTGACCCGAGGCTGCCATGTGGGGCGAGCCAGCAGTGACGAAGTGTCTGCACCCCAGGGGCCTTGGGGGGGTGAGTGTGGCGATGGCACTGAGGACCCTGTGGCGGCTGAGAACTGGAGGTAATGGAGGCCGACAAGCCCGGGGGACTGGATGGGGGCGCTGCAAACAGGGGCTGTTTTGCAGTAGTGAGAGTTAAGGAATGAGATGTATACAAAGCAACACAGTAAAGTCCTCAAAACACAGTGAAAAAGTCTGAAAAGAGTGAGATCTAGAGCACAATACGATTTACACGATGACGCACGCAACACATAACATTAACTACATTTTCAGGCCACGTACGTGTCCACAGACGTACGTTAAACAAACACACCCCGGGGAGAATCAGCGTGGGGTGGAATGAAGCAGGGCGGGTGACAAGGAGGAGATTAAGTCCCGAGGGGGACCTGGCAAGGACCAGTGATGGCAGGGCGACAGGAAATGAGGAGTGGGGGATCGATTTCCGGCTTCCCGGTTGCAGAATGTGGGGGGGCAGAGCGCACGCACTAACCCGGCCAGCCCTCCCCCAAGCCCAGGCTAGCGGCGCCGCCCTGTACCTCGTGGTTCTCATGGCCGAGCAGATCCGAAAGAACTTTCAGCACCAGGCCTGCCACCTTGGCACACATGTTCTTCCCTTCAGAAAAGACAACGGAACAAAACATGACGTGTCTAAACTCAGAAGTACAGTTTCAAGTGAGGCAAACTTGAGCACAAATCTTGGGCCCTCTGCTAATGAACTGTGTGACCCTGGGTGAGTCACTTAAGCAATCCGGGCCTCGGTTTCTTCCTCCTGGGGTTCCCTAGCGATTATTAACATCTACCGAAGGGTGATGCAGAATGAAGGAACTCGGTATAGGCCGTGCACTCCGAGTGCTCAGGAGACAGTGGCACAGAGCTAGTCGTGTCAGTGAACACATGATACGTTACGGGGCAACGTTCTACCTCCCAAGTGCACACGCCAGCGTCACAAAACTCACACAGGTGCTTTAGCAAGTCCAAATAGCATTGTAACAATCACTGCAAATAAACTGATGATAGTACGAGAAGCTGATTAGAATCTGACAAATGCTTTAAAGCTGGGATATCTGCATACGTTGTTTTTTAAGAAAAGACTGAAGTAACAGTCATTTAGTCAGTCAACAAGACACAGGCCGTGCAGATTACAAAGCATCCGAGGGCAAAGAAGCTTCTAACGAATACCCTGGAGCTATTTAGCCACGTAACTTCTTCTCCACAAACTGGGGCTGCTCAGACTGAGGGCAGCCACAGGTCGGACTTGGCACTTCTTCTAAAGAAGCTTCTTCTATCCCCATAACGGATCATTTCATGGATGGAACCTGCAGAAAAGCTGCGATCACTGCCTTTACTGATCAGATGAGCTGAGATGTGCACGTGAAAATCCCCTCTCCGGGGGGGCGGTGTGTGAAGTGGGGAGACTGCTGTGGTGAGGAGCAGGGAGCCTGGTTGGGCGTCCTTGCTCTGCCACCGACTTAACCCTGTAGAATCCTGGAAACATAGTTCTCTGTCTTGGGACAGAATGGATCAGAATTCTTAACTTCCTGCCTTTGAATAGTGCAATGAAGATGAAGAAAAATATAAAGTATTTTAATTTCCTCTTACTGCAGGTGCTGTAAACACATAAAATGGTATTTCCAAGGGCAGCAAGGTATTTGGCTTCAGGGATTCACCAACTGTATAACTAGCTGGAAATGTTTTACACCCTACTTCTGTTTCAGTTCTCTATGAGGGAGACTAAAGGCAAACCACAGCAGGCTGGGTGGTGGTCCGGGTTCACACCCGAGCCAGAGGGCTGGGGGATAGGGGTGATGGGGGACAGGGTGGGGGGGGGCCAAGGGGGTGGGGGATAGGGGTGGGGGGGGGAGGTGGGGGGCGGGGAGCCGGGGGGGGGGGAGATGGAGGACAGGTTGTTGGGGGAGCCAGAGGGCTAAGGCACAGGGTGGGGGAGGGGTGCTATCGGACCTGCGCTCCGGAGGCAGAGGTTCATGAGCAAAGCCACCGAGTACTCCAGCGTATAGTCAGACAGGCAGTCGGGGTCCTTCAGAATATCAATCAGCCAGAAGATGAGGCCGTCTCGAATCATCGCTGTCTGCAGCGGGCGCCTAGGATGCAAAAGCCTACAGGTCAACTAAAGCTGTCGAGAAACCTTCCCTGCAAGACTACGGGGTGATGTGCACACCTGTCAGAATAGGCAAACTGTGCAGGAGATACAGACTCTGAAGGATATTTTGTTGTTAGACCTGCACAGCTGAAACAACAGATGCCTTTACCTTTCGAGGGTACTACTAAGGGTTCAGACAGAGAGAAGGCAGTCAGGAGGCCTCCTACTTTGAAAGTTTCTTTTTCGACATTTACAATTAGCAGAGTATTACTTCCAATATTTCATAAATATTTATTGATAGCTTTTGGTCTACTTGACCCGGGAGATAGCCATAGGAATAGTTCAACACCAATAAATGGGTTTTTAGTAAACTCTAGTCCAGCTAGGCACTTGAGCTGTGTGAAAAACAAGAAAAGCAAACAACCAGCCCAATCCCATTTTGAGTCAGGTCTCTAGAAACTAAGGGGAGTTGAATGATGTGGGTCGTATAATTGATACAGAATTGGTTTCCACCCACAGTCTAGGTATAAAACCTTACAAAATCCAACACCTCATCAAAATGTGTTATGGTGAATGTCTTCATGCCGGCCTTAAGAACTGATGAGATCAGGCATAATGGTATCACTATGAAGTCACGTAAATTCTTTGAAAATCAAAACACCACGGAGGAACCACCATTGCACATCTCCTAATGAACAGGTTATGGTAAAACTCCTACCTGGACAGTATCTACTTGCGCTGTTCTTCAAGGTTTTATTTGTAAGTAAACTCTACACCCAATGTAAGGCTCGAACTCACAACCTCAAGAACAAGATTCACACGCTCTACCGACTGAGCCAGCCGGGTGCCCATCTGTGCTAGTCTTACACACCACACTCACCACCTCGGTGAAATTTACTGGAATACAATGAAGGCTACACTCTTTTGGTAATCCTAACTCTCTACATTCACTGTACAGACTCCAGAAAACTGCAAAAACATGAAGCATATTTCCAGAACAGAGAAACTTAAATTACTGTTTGCAGGGCAAGAAAAAACTGGCAATAAATATCTGTATTCCCAGAAAGAAGTATTTCTTCCTTGTATCTTATCTCTGTTACTTAACTATAGTCACTGAATTTCTAAAAATTTTCCAAATGCAGTCAACACTAGGCTAAATTTATAAACAAACAGAGACAAAGTGTTCATATGATCTGAGGAATATAATAACTGGATATTACCACTTACAGATCTTCTCAATTCACATAGTTAGAACAAGAAGCATTGGCAGGGACCTGACAAATAGTAGGAGCTAACTACCTACCGCTTTCCCTCATGAAACATACACACTTAGAATGAGTCACCTTGGGGGAAAAAAAGAAAAAAAAAAAGAATAAGTCACTTTGCAGGCTTTGGGCTACTAGCGAGAGCATATCAATCAAATGTTAACCACATTTCTCTCTCTCTCTCCCTCCGCCCCTCCCCCCCCACTCTTTCTAATAAAAATTAAAAAAAAAAAGTTAACCACATTTGACAGGAAGAAAGTATGTCCAGAAGGGGGCTGATGGTCAGAAAGAGCTGAGATTTCTTACTAAGGCCGAGAGAAAGTGAGGTAGTCAGGAGGGAACGCCATGCTGCAAGAATTCTGAACGACTCAGCGATTCCACTCTTAGACACCGAGTCAGGAGACAGGAAGACATGTGTCCACACAAAGACTTGTATGCAGATGTTCCTAAGAGGCTTATGCATAATAGACAAATAGTAGAAACAATCCAGGTATCTGTCAACTGCTGAATAGATAAGCAAAATGTGTTGTGTCCATAAAACGACACGTTACTCAGCATGACGAACGAACCAAGTCCTGGCACGTTACACCACTGATGAACTTAAAACCATGATGCTGAGTGAATGAAGCCGGTCACGACAGAACACACATTATAGGATTCCATTTATCTAAAATGTCCAGCATGGGTAACTCTACAGAAAGCAAATCAGTGGTTACCAGGGGCGGGGGGTAAGAATGAGGCTTGGAGGTGGGCATGAGGTTTCTTTGCGTGGTGATGGAAGTGTTCTAAAATTAGCTTGTGGCGGTGGCTGTACAACTCTGTAAATCTACTAAGACTCACTGAATGGTGCATTTAAAAGGGGTGAATTTTGTGCTATGAAAGTATACCTTAATAAAGCTGTCAATGAAAAACAAACAAAAGCTCTAGGTGGCTAAGAGATCCAAGTCATAACAGGGTCCAGATGGAGACGTCAGGGTGGGCCGCTGGGACATAGGGACTGGGGAGCGGGAGGCTCCGCCCACCTTCCATGGAAATCCCACCACACCCCCTGTGACTCCTCATCCACGTGCACATCTCCCACAGAGGCTGCGAGTGACTTGCTGAGCTGAGCTCCATCAGGTTTTACTCACGTGTGCATCTCTACCCCCGGCACGTGGCCTGAGACACAATCCGGCCCCTGGCCGGCCCCAGCCGTGGCGCTCGTGAGGACACCACAACGGCACTTCCTGAGCTGGATGGTCTTAAGGATTAGAGATAGGCTTTCCAGCCCTATCTTGGAAAGTCACCCAACCTCTCCTAAATGTTAACTGAAAATATCATGTGCCCCTTGGGCTGCTATTGGGACTAAACAGTGGCTAAACCTTACTGTTAGGAGCTACCATGACCTACTGCGCGGTCAGCACCTGAGGCTGAACTTCTGCAAGGCCCCGAGAATGTTCTCCCGGGTGACGACATCCTCGTCTTCCTCCTTCAGCCTTTCCTCCAGCATCCGCAGCACCCTTGTGGTCTGGGCCAGGTAGAGACGACCTAATAATATAACCAGAGATGCACAAGCAGAAGAATTTATCTTGTGCTAAGTTCATGCTCCAAAACCACTTTCGATGAACACTTTGCACATAACGTTATGTAGAGTTTGGGAAATTTTAGGTTCTAAAAAACTTAAAACATATTTTTTCTGCAAAGTTGGTTTTATCCGATCAACTAATGAAGAAAAAACGACTCCTTTTGTAATCTAAACATAATTAATTCATCACTATGTTTTTGTGGGGAGCTCTTTTATTTACCTGAAATCTTGAACCCAAAAGTCAGATCTACAAGGAGAAAGAGGGTAAGGAATCTATATGTTATGGGGCCCCTAGTCTTTATAATAGGGGCAACCAAGCAGTAATGATTTCTGGCACATTCCTTGCTCCTTCGAGACACACCCGTGGCCTGGGGAAGGAGATGGGAACCATACCTGGCACCCTACAATAAGCCTTGAGCTACCACTAGCCTGTTGTAGACTTGTGTCTTGATACAGATGACATTAATGCATGTACCCTCCCTTGTAAGAACAGACGGAAGAACAAGCGAATGAATGACTGACCCAGCTTTTGGAGTATCATCTAGTCATCATTTGAAAACTCCCTTTATTCACATTTTAAAAAGCTGAAACAAAGTAGAACTTAATGGAAGATAATGGCACCCTGTAAAATCATCTTGAATTCAGCTTTGGTATGTATTATCTTTGGAATTTTCAAATCCTCTTGGTTTAAGAGATTATAGGCTTTAAAAAAAAAAAAGAGTTTATTTTTAAGTAATCTCTACACCCAACATAGGGCTCAGACTCACAACCCCAAGATCAAGAGTTACACGCTCCACCGACTGAGCCAGCCGGGAGCCCCTAGAGGTTACACTCCTTTGAAGGAAATGGTGCAGTGCTTATTGGAATCAGCTTTGATTATTTCACTAACCTTATTTTGCAGAAAACTATAGAAAATGCATTACCTGTTATATACTTGAAAGCTAGTGAAATACTATGGTTACAAAACCAGAAATCTCACAAAATAAAACCAGAAGGCTTATAAAGTAAACTCTAAATAAAACCATCAAAATTTGCTCTGACATAAACTAAGCAAAAGGACAACAGTCAATTTGCACAAAACACCTTAGATGCACTAAACAGGAATAAATGGAGGGGACGTACAGCATCTTTAAGAAACGTGAAGAAGAACGTCGATTTTCAAAGGAATAAAAAGCATTAATAAGACCTAGCTGCTCTCTGGGAGGAAAAGTTGACGCTCTACCTTCCGCCAGGGACGCGAAGGCATTGATGAGCCGGGCCATGTACTGTCGCACCACCTCGCTCTTGGAGTGCAGCAGCTGAAGCACACTCCTCTGTGGGGGAAACACAGCAAAAGAGGAAAATGATGAGGTTAAGGAAAAGTGACAGGTAAACACACGTCCCTTCTCTGGGCCTGCTCTTCTCTTCTCCGTGTCAATTTATCAGAGGTGAAAGAAAGGGACTGAAGCCAATGCTTCATCTGGAAATCTCCATTTCCAACTGATTTTTTATGAGAGTTGACAAAAAATAAGTTATTCAGCCTTCTAAATTAAAAGAACGAATTATACGGGCGCCTGGGTGGCTCAATCGCTTAACTGTCCACTTCAGCTCAGATCACGATCTCGCAGTTCGTGGGTTCGAGCCCCGTGTTGGGCTCTGTGCTGACAGCTCAGGGCCTGGAGCCTGCTTCGCATTGTGTCTCCTTCTCTCTCTGCCCCTCTCCCCACCCTTCTCAAACATAAATAAACATTAAAAAAAAAAAAAGAACCAATTATACAGAGCACTTAGACAGTGACTGGCACAAGGGAGGCAATACTGTTGGCTATTGCTGTTGCTAATGTTTTTCCAGGTTAATGATAACTCCAACGCACACATCATTATTTTTGCTCCCTGCAAACCACAGTAAAACTACAGTGAACGGAATTTTTTTTTTTTTAAAAGACATAAATTCTGAAGGACAGAGAGACAGCACAAGAAATGTAACACAATTTCAGAATCAGGAATGCAGGGCAGTAACAGACTTAGCAGACCCAAGAATGTCAAGTCTCAAAGGCAGCAATGGACAATGAGGAATTACCCAATTTACAGCACTTAACCCTCAAAAGGGAAAAAAATAAAGAAGAATGAATGAAAGCTGTTAAAGCAGGAGCTAGATCCCACTTTGCTGCTCCCACACTACTGTCCTACCGCATACTTCCCCCCATTGGTCTCTTGCAAGGGTAGCACAAAGGGTCTCGGTGGGGGGGGGGGGGGGGCACCTGGCCCAGGTAAGCAGGACTTCTACACCAGAAGGGGGTAAGGGGCAGTGCCTAAATGCAGAAAGAATGCTGAACAAGGAGCACCCTGTCCTCTTCTCCTACCTGAGTCCCGGAACACTGCACCCAGATCCTCACCCTCTAGGCAGAAGAACAGAAGACTCTTCCTAGAAGAAAATGACCAGCCCAAGAGAAAAGAACCAGAGATCCTAAAATCAGAGGTTCCTAATAGAGAGCCCACCTGGCTCACCCTCCAGTGGAGCACTGCGTCTACAGGTCCTACCCTCGCATTCACAACTTCCAATCGGCTTTCACTCCCCCCACTCAAAACATTATGAGTTAAACAAGGTCTATCAGAAACTCAAGATAAGTTTCCAATATGGGCGATAGATAAGGTCAAAACAGATGGGGGAACAACCTGAAGGAAACGAGACGGTGAAGGGAGAAGAAAACTAGAAATAAGCGTGAATGTGTCACTAATGCCCTCAGAGATACAAGAAGTTGTATTATGTCCATGAAAAAACAGAATGTCACAAAAAGGGAGAATGAAAAACTCAACTCAAAGGTTAGAAAATAAAGATGAGGCGATCTCCCGGAAAGTACAGCAAAAAGAAAAATATGGAAAACATGAGAGACAAGATAAAATTAGAGAAGCAGTTCAAGAGGTGCCACATTCAGACAAAGAACAGAGAAAACAGAGAGAGGAAAACCTAAGGCATCTTTCATTAGAGGATACATTATTTTTTTTATATGTACAACCAAGAAAGAAAAGCAGCCAATTAAACTACAACAGGCCATCAAGTATTAGATACATTCCAATTTCCCAGATGCTAACATGGGGGGAAAATGCATCTCAGATTCAATGAAATAAGATAGTTTCAGAAAGATCCAACTGAATTTACTCTTTGCATTTGAGTTTATAAAGTCACAACAGTGTATTTTTCAACTGCTTCATGTCTGATAAGTTGGTTTCAATGCCATTATAAATATAAGCAGAAGTAAAAAGGGGCACGTGGGTGGCTCAATCAGTTAAGCGTCCAGTGTCGGACTTGAGCGCAGGTCATGATCTCGCGGTTTGTGAGTTCGAGCCCCGCTCTGGGCTCTGCAGTGGCAGCTCGGAGCCTGGAGCCTGCTTTGGATTCTGCGTCTCCCTCGCTCTCTGCCCCTCCCCCACTGGCACGCGTGCTCTCTCTCTCAAAAGGGAGTAAATAAACATTAAAAAAATTTTTTTAAAGAAATAAAAATAAAAGAAAATAAGTCACGAATCTGAGAGACGATTTTTAAACTTAACATAACTCTTTCATGGGAGCAGTAAGAAAACTACATTCAAAGAATAAACTGGCAACTCAGAATTCTCAAACGTTACCGCCTGTGTGCACAACAGGCACAACTAACATGATTAGTTTCTGCAGGGTGCCGTCTCATCGGCGAGCCTAAGGGGTATCGATATTCCGCTCAGCGCACACGCTGTGAGCTTAACAATAGGAAGATAAAGTATTTACGTCATTTTGGATAAACATTCAGTGGGACAATGAAATGCGGCGTCTTTATATATGCCATGTTCAAGAGCTCGTTCCTCCTCCTGTCCAGCGAAGCCGGGTGCTGGCAACAGGTAATGGGGTGAGGAGTGGGGAGGGGAACCGCCATGCCTTGGCTACGCTGTGCTGGGCACCGGGTCAAGTACTTCCCACATGTGACCAAACGCAATCATCCTCCCAACCTCACAAGGCAGGTGAGGCTCCTTCTCAGAGGTGGTTAAGAGTAATGTACTTAAGCTAATCTGGCTCAGAGGCAGCAGGGCAGAAGTCTGAAACCAGTTAATCTCATTCTGAATCCCATACTTTCCCCACTGCATCGTCAGACCTATCTGGTCCGAAGCTATATACAAACATAGTGTTAACACATTTCAAGTCGGGCCCCGATGAAAACAACTGGCTTGGCTTACCCGCCTTGCCGGCCGTAAATCATGCTGGGCTTGCAGGACTCACAGTTAAGCGGCAGGGTCACGAAAAGAGTTGGGATTTGGGGAAAAGGAAAAACGACAGGCAAGAGCTCCAGAGTTGAATCAGGCAGTTCAACCTGTCTAGGACTCTACCAGAGGTGAAAAGTGGGCCAATGTGTGGGGTGAATAGCAGATCTCACCAGCTAACAGGAGCTCAAGGCTGACATACAGTCACTAGACTGAAAATCTCACAAACAGGAAAGCTTCCTCCTTTTGCTAAGATCATCCCCTCGAAATAAAGGCCCTGGCTGGGCTCTGGCCCTCCTCTTAGAGACCTGGCCGTGGCTGTGACAGTCCAGGAGGTCGTTGCCAATGTAGGCTTCCAGAACGGTCTCCCTCTGCTCTCCAGGATGGGATGTGGTCAAGCGCTAGAATAAAGAAAAAGAAAAGTAACAGATCTAAGTCTTAATATGGAGAAAAATGTTCCCATAGCGGGCATCTTTTAAATGGCAGTACCGGTAACCACACATTTAACCAAAGTAAATAATATCCGGGTGGGGAGGGTTAGTTACCCAGCCAACCAGTCAACTAACGAGTTACAATGTCGTATTTCCTCATGGGTGACGTAGGCATCAACCTGCACACGTGGAATCTCCAGAGAAGTGAAGTGGTAAAATGCCCGGACTGCAAGTGTACAGATAAGGGAGAGCTCACCAATATCTAGAGAGGGTTTTGCCAGGAAGGGCCTCAAGAGCTGGCCCATAAAGGATGAGCAGACCATTAGCCACCACACGGGAATGTGAGCATGGCGGATGGGGGAGGAAGTGTGGTAAAGGTCAGGGAGGCGTGAAAATGCAGGGTGCAGGTGAGTGGAGCTCAGTGATGGGGGGGTGGACAAAGGGCGGGTGGAAGAGGGCTTGGAGCAAATGTGTTGCCAACAAATTAGACTTTCTACTATACAGACCACTGCAGCAATATTGTGTGCGTGTGCGTGTGTGTAGGGTGTAGATGCGTAGAATTTTGTATATCTTGAGAGCCGTAAGTCTCGGGTTAAGGAGGAATTTACTTCATGTCCATAGGGCTAGAAAAAAAATGTTGTGGGGCACCTGGGTGGCTCAGTCAGTTAAGCCTCTGACTTCGACTCGGGTCATGATTTTGCGGTTTGTGAGTTCGAGCCCCCGCGTCGGGCTCTGGGCTGACAGCTCAGAGCCTGGAGCCTGCTTCGGATTCTGTGTCTCCCTCTCTCTCTGCCCCTCCCCTGCTCACACTGCGTCTCTCTCTCTCTCTCTCTCTCTCTCAAAAATAAATAAACATTAAAGAGAAAGAAAGAAGGAAGGAAAGAAAATGTCATGTGTGCAATGTGTGTGCGTGTGGCACATATGGGTGTGTACAGGTATGAATTACAACACGAGAACATCACATAACTAAAGTGAGCAAATGTCCTTGCTTTTCCAGGAAGATCCTCCTAACAATCCCTGAGACCGCAGGCCTTACTTCTGGCCGAGGAGGCGCTGGGTGTGTAAAGGACCACATGGTGAGGAGACAAGAGCGGCAGACCCCCCCAGAACCGAAAGGTGGAGGCCTCCGGAGGCAGGTGTCGCTGACAGGCTGGACCCACTGTAGCCAAGCAGGAGGCCCTGAGGGGAGAGGGCACTCTGTTAAAGGAGGGTGTGCCAAGAGTGTCACATGCGGGGCTGCTGGGCTGGAGTGGGACACAGACAAAATCATAAGACACAGGTTTACTTTTCCTGACTATTCTGTGACAACGTCATTCATTCAGCCAAGGACTACCCTGTCTCACCAACAGCCCAGCAGCACGAACTGTGAGGACGTGCCGGGCAGACAATCTAACAGCCAAGGAAAGGGCTTGCTGACTTGAGCAGAGAGAGGCGACATCTGGGGCACGGATGGCCCCCCGAGATTACTCCCGCTGCCCACCTCGTCAGCTGAGGCAGGCATCACCACTAATTGCAGGACTCTTCCCGCTGAGGCTAGAGTCATCCTCAGAGCACGCCTCGAGACCACATTCCAGGAAGCACCACCAACCATCAGAAGAGCAAGTGAGGCGGCCTTTTTCCACCCAGAGACCGGGAAATTGCTCAAAGGCATTTTGATGGCAACATAACCTGAGATTCAGGGATCCATGAGGAGTCCGACACGATTACAGGATAAGTTAGAACGGATCATTTAAAGAGCCAACCAGCACTGGCCTAGACCTGTAGTTCTCAAAGTGTCATCTTGGGAACCCTACGGGTCCTCAAAGCCCTTTCAGGGAGCTTACAAGGTCATGATTGTTTTCATAATACTAACATACGGTTTATCTTTTTCATAGTAAATGTCTCAGAGGCTGTATGAAGGGTGACACTGTGACAAATTGAATGGGGGAGCAGATGTAAGAATCCAGCTGTCCTCCATCAGACCAGACGTTAAAGAAATTTGCAAAAATGTATAGGGATGCTGCTTTTCCTATTAATTTTTTTGCTCAGAAAATAGTGTTTTATAAAAAAAAGTGTCATTTATGTTATGTTCTGGGTTCATTGTTCATCTTAAATGGATTAATATTTAACATTTTCAGTTTTCATTTCTAATATTATAAATGTTTGTAGATAAAGTTCACATAAACTGAAGGCTTTTAGGTCCTCAGTAATTTCTGAGAGCGTAAAGGGGTCTGAGACCAAAAAGCCCGAACCACTGGCTTAACTGGGACCAGCGTGAAGACTGGGCTTTGCTTCCCTTAAAGACTGGTTCATCAGCGTCCACCCTTGCTGTCTGCCCCAATGGCCACGCGGCAACGCCTGAATGCAGAAGTCTTGGTGAAGCTGTCACGTCAGAATGACTCTGGGCGCTCACACGCCGACCTCGCTGGCCAGGAGTGTGGCTTGAGACCAGGCAGCAGGGGCAGTCTTGAAACTGCATATTTTGGGGGCTCTCTCTCTCTCAAAATAAATAAATAAACATTAAAAAGAAAGAGAAAGAAAGAAAGAAAGAAAGAAAGAAAGAAAGAAAGAAAGAAGGAAGGAAGGAAGAAAAAGAAAGAAAGGAAGGAAGGAAGGGAGGAAAAGAAAGAAAAAGAAAGACAGAAAGAAAGAAAGAAAGAAAGAAAGAAAGAAAGAAGGAAGGAAGGAAGAAAAAGAAAGAAAGGAAGGAAGGAAGGGAGGAAAAGAAAGAAAAAGAAAGAAAGAAAGAAAGAAAGAAAGAAAGAAAGAAAGAAGGAAGGAAGGAAGAAAAAGAAAGAAAGGAAGGAAGGAAGGGAGGAAAAGAAAGAAAAAGAAAGACAGACAGAAAGAAAGAAAGAAAGAAAGAAAGAAAGAAAGAAAGAAAGAAAGAAAAGAAAGAAGGTTCCTATGTCAAATGACCGAGGGAAGGCAATGGCAACTGTGATGTCAACACGGGGGTTTTACAAAGAGGCAAGGCGATCCTGAGAGGTTGTTGGTGGCAGCAGGCAGCGTGAAGACAGATTTTTAGTAGATGGGTTACAAAATGCACCTGAGCTAGCCAGCCAAGAAAACTAGCACGGCCTTTTTCCCCCTTAAGGTACGTACCCAGCGCAGAGCCTGCAACAAGAAGGCTTTCAAGCGGTCACTCCCCCAAATCAAATCCTTCTTCAGTTTCTCATAATCCAAGGAGGGCAGCAATGGGACATCCTTCAGCTTCCTACTGGGCAACACAAGTTCAAAGAGAAAGAAAAGGGCAAAAGGGCATGTTCATTATACCTCCTGAGTATCGGGACCCCCGTCTCGAGCTGCACAGGCTAGTGGCGGCCCGGCTGTTTTCTGTGCTCCCGGAACTAGGTCCAGGCTTCCACAGAGAGGGCTGGTTCTAGGCTCCGACCCCCCCCCCCCCCGGCGTCAACTAGCCCGGCTCTGTCTCTCCTGTGGTACGTACTGGGGTTTTGTTTAACATCTTCCCCAAAACGAGGAGTCCCTGCCTAACCAGGTTTAGAAACCACTGCATTCCCGTTAGGCCTGGGCTCCATCCGACAGGGATGAAATCTCCTCAGAGGCCCCAGCACTTGCTGCAGCGCTCAACGTCCTCCTTAGAATCTGGAGCAAAGCCCAAAAACTATTAGCGTCAGCAGGGCCGAGCGTTCTTCCTAAAAACCCGAGGTCACTGTGCCTCTCGAACCCGAGGAACCTAACCGGGGGAAGGACGGACCGGGGTTCAGAAACACCTGTGAAGAGTCATGGTTGACCCCTGAGCAGGCGCAGGGGTGTGCCAGGAGGTAGCGCGGGTTCCCGCTTGTGAGACGGGCAGCAAGCAGGACAGTTGGCAGACCCTGGCCGAGAGGACTCCAGGCAAGCCCCGGGGGGAAGCCAGGTTTCCCAGGGTCTTGACTGTCTGCCTGGCTGAACAGGAGGGGACTAGACAGAAGGGAGGACGAGTGACAAGGGAGCGAGGCCTATGGTCTGGTTTACGGGACTGGAGCAACATTCACCTCCTCGCTTTCATGTCACACTCGTCATAGAGGCCACCACTGGGGGCCTGGGGATTCAACTCCCTGGGGAGTTATAATTAGTTCATCATAAAACAAGTAAAAACCAAAAGCAAAACAAAAATATGGTTCTCCCGATCCTGTGCACGGAACATTAATACTATTACCAACACTAACTGCACAACACTGACTGGGGGCTCAGGAGGACTTGGGCGAAAAGACGCAAAAATGAAGAGTTCTTTTTGCTTTTCACTGAAGTATAACGGGGACACGTTATATTAGTTGCAGGCAAACAGCATGATGACTCGCGCATAGTGCGAAATGGTCACCGCACTGAGTCTCTCTGCCCTCTGTCACCATACCAAGTTCCCACGCCTTTTCTTGTGATGAGAACTTTGAAGTTACTTTCTTAGCAACTTGTAAATTGGCAATACAATATTACTGACTATAGTTCCTGTGCCGTCCATTACATCCCAGGACTTTTTATTTTGTAAGTGGAAGTTTGTATCTCTCGGTCTCCTTCACCTATTTCACTCGTTGCCTTAGTTTGGAAGGGTGGGATAGAAACTGAGGGAATACCTCTGGGAGACAGTGTTCAGGATCCTGTCAGTTTTCTTCATGCTCTACTGACTGAGCCAGTTGGGCACCCCTAACTGCTAGTTTAAAAAAAAAATTTTTTTTTAATGTTTATTTATTATTGAGAGACAGAGCATGAGCAGGGGAGGGGCAGAGAGAGGAGGAGACACAGAATCCAAAGCGGGCTCCAGGCTCCGAGCTGTCAGCACAGACCCTGATGCGGGGTTCGAACTCACAAACCGCGAGATGATGACCTGAGCCGAAGTCGGACACTTAACCGACTGAGTCACCAAGGTGCCTCCATGCTAGTTTTTTTAAAATGTAAAATTTTTAAAGCCAAAATGGAATCCTCTTCAAGGGCCCAGGGAAAAAGGCCAGAAAACAGGGCCACAAATGAGATCTCAGTAAACACTCCTGGGAGGAGTGTGTCCTATTTTGTACATCAAACAGTTGAGCCATGCACATGTTCACACTATTTTGACACTTATTTTCCTGAGACAGACACTACTGTGTTTAAAAATGAACACAGACTACTTTAAAAATTTCGATGACAAATGACTGGCCAGTATTCTTCAAAAGTGTCAAGGCCATGAAAAACAGAGACTAAGGAATGATTTCCAGTAAAGAAATCAGACACGACAACCACATCAACATATGATCCTGGACTGAATGCTGGACCAGACAGAGGACATAACGGAATAACTGGTAAAACGTGAGCGAAGCCTGTAGATTAGATGGTATGGTACCAGCGTTAATTCTCTGATTTTGATAACTGCCCTGGGCTTGTGTCAAATATTAACATGGGGAATCTGGGTGAAAGGTATAGGAGAATTCTTTGTACAATATCTGTAGCTCTTGAAATTATTTCAAAATGAAAAAAAGATTTTTTAATTTGAAATTTAAACCAGAACTTGTTCTAGACAAAAAAGTGCCATCTGTAAAGCCAAGTCTGAAATTGTCCTATAGCTGGGGTACTTCCTATGGCTGGAAATAGCACTTCCCTGTCACATGCGGGCCACAGTTACTCACCCATCACGGCAATATTACCGGCTGAATTTATTGCCAACTAAGTTGCTGAGAAACCCCACATTTCTGCAGTCCAGCCACTCTCCCACTGTCCAAGAAAACTGTGTCCTACCTTCTCCTTTGTCCTCTTAAGCCCCTCCACCAACCACCCCCCTTTACTCTCTGCAGGTGACCTTGCTTCTTATACCGTTGGGAATAACATTAACAAACACCCAAGGAGTTTATTAAATCCCCAGCACTGTACTAAGTGCTTTATACATATTAACTCATTTTTATCCTCACAATAATCCTATAAGAAAGTTATTATTAGTGTCATTTTACAAGTGAGGAGACTGAGGCACGGGGAAGTTACATAAGTGGTCCAAGGTCACAGAGCCAGTGGCGGAGGTGGGATTTTAGCCCCGGCAGTCTGTGCTCATAAGCATCACATTATACAGCCACCACCTGAAGGGAACAAAGTGCAGGGTCAGTGTCAGACTCAGGCAGGACTGAGGGAGGAGGCAGGCTGTGTCTCTCTCAGGTGTTTGAGTCATCTGAGAGTATCCCCCGAACTCCCATAACGAGGGGGGCTCAGGAGGCCAACAGAAGCCACTTTACTCCTGGCGCCTTTGCTAAAGGTTCTCAACTTCCTTTTACTGCAACATACATGCCCGGTGAAGCTCCCTTGCATCCGACCCCCACACGGGTGACAACCTAACTGATGTGGGTAGGAACGCTCAGGCCTAGACAAAGCTATCCTGTGGCCCTGGTCATAGTGTGAGCCAGCAGAGATCATGAAATTCAGACATTGCACCACTCTGCTGACTGCCCTATGACAGAAGATTCTATACAATATCATGGGAACAAGTCAATGAATTTTTCCATTTGATGCTACCTCTCCAAAATAAGTAGAATTAATACTAAAAAATACCTCTAGTTTAATAATCTTGCTTATAATTACTGGCACTTCCTTTAGTATCCAGCTAGACTGGAGGTCTAGCTAATCAAAGGCACTCCTCTAAGCTAGGCTGTTAAGATGAATGTTTACTAAAGTTACTTTGAATTCTAGTTTTACCCAGGGCTGTTCTCCATAATAACAGCTCCTAAGGGCAATGACTTACCCTGGTGCCAAGGAGGCTCTTAACATGGTTGAAGCCTGGGGGTGGGGTGTGGAAACAAAAGAAGAGAGGCTGTGTTAAACAGGGAGAGCAATGCATTAATCCTAAATCACTTTACTCACATAAAATCAACAGATTTGCAAAGTTTTTGATCCCTGAGGATTCTCCGGCCATAATCATACATGATTTAAAAATTAGCCCAAACTGAAGTTAAGCAACACACTACTGATGTATTTCCCAAGCCGCCTACAACACTTGGTTCATTGTGGCTCTGCTCCAAGGAATACTCCATAAAAACATGAGTGGGTCCCCCCGGACCAAATTCAAGAGGCACTTTAAAGCTGCCTAGTCGGATATCATAGAGAACAAAAGTAATGAAAGTCATTTTATTATCCTGATTTTTTCTTTACTAAGGTTTTCTCTTTGAGTATAAAAATAACATGCACTTTGTACCAAGTCAAACACTATAGAGGTGTTTATAGAAAAATCCCCCTCCCACTCCATTCCCCTTTCGTCTTATTTGTAGGCCAGATCACTGCCTACTTTATGGACATTCAACATTGTTCCATTTATGGCTTGTTTTGTTTTGTTTTGTTTTTGCCACTACAAACAATGCTGTATTAAACATGTACTGAAACAGACTTGAGAAACAAAAAACCAAATGCTGTGTGTGGCGTTTACTTGGACCAACTCAAACCAACTGTAAAAAAACATTTTGAGCAAATAAGGGCAATATGAATATGGACTCACTGATACTGTGTGATACTGAAGAATTAGTGCCAATTGTATTTGGCATCATAATTATGTTTGGTTTTTGTTTTGTGAAGCCCTTAGCCGCTGGATATATACATTGAATTATTTGCAGGTAAAGTGACATAACGTTTGGACTAGGTTTGTTTTGTTTTTTTAGTGTTTATTTTTGAGAGAGAGAGAGAGAGAGAGAGAGAGAGAGAGAGAGAGAGTCAGTCAGAGCGTGAGCCGGGGAGTGGCCGAAAGACAAAGGGACACAAAATCCGAAGCAGGCTCAGAGCACAGAGCCTGATGAGGGGCTTGAACCTATGAACCGTGAGATCATGACCTGAACCAAAGTCGGACGCTCAACCAACTGAGCCACCCAGGCGCCCCTGGACTAGGTTTTAAGGAACTCCAGGAAAAAAAGTTAAGTAGAGGAGAAGACAAGAAATCTTAGCCCTCCATAGAGCCATTCTTGAAGGGACAGGTGGTGGCACTCAATCCTCTCTGTGTCACAACAGCTCTCAAATGGTCATTATCCACACTTAGCACACTGAACTGTGACAATTTTACAATTATTTCTGTGCCTTTCTCCTTCAGTAGACATGGAGTTCTGTAACCCTCAATATATGTACCCAGCACCTGCTACAGTGCCTGGACATACAGAGGCACGTGATCAAATTTGTTGAATGAATGAATGAATGAATGAATGAAGACTGATATCCCCAAATGGGCTCTCCAGAATCCTTGACTAATTTAATAAATTTAATAAACTGGCCCTGGCTGAGAACTCTGGTCTCTACTGCTTCTACTGTGTAGTATTTACAGGCCACACAGATCCCCATCTTGGAGACAGCAAACCTCATTTTTAAATGGCTCATGACCATGTTTTATATTTTTTAACCCTTGACTTTTTTTGGTAATTAACGGAAATGCCTATTTCTGTTATTGGCTTAAATAGCAAGTAGCTCAGAAAATAAGTTTGAAATGTCATCTAAATTACTCATCCAACACATTAAGAAGACTAAGAAGCCAAAACAGTGAGTCAAATAGGGCATAACCATGTTAAAATATCAGGCTAATGTATACACAAAATAAAGATATTTTTAAATTAGTGTTGTCGACTAATCATATATCCACAAATAAAATTCATCAACACCACCCCTTTCTTCAGTTAAGAAAATGTTTTCTATCATTTATTTTAAAAAGATTTTAAGTAATCTCTACACCCAACATGGGACTCAAAGAAACAACCCCGAGATCAAGCGTCACATGCTTTTCTGACTGAGCCAGCTAGGCACCCCCTTTCTATCTTTTAAAACAGCGCTTCTCTTTTGCTAAACTCTGTAGCATTCTATTTGCCCTGTGAAGAAATTAATTGAAAAACACTAATAACTAAAAAGGCAGTGTGTTAAACATTACTGAGATTTTATTATCCAATCAAGTAAAAACAAAAAACAAAAAAAACCCGAAAAGATGAGCTGGGGGAAGAAAGGCCCTGCATGCTCTTAATGAGAGAGGACTTTGTGCTATTTCATTCATTCAGTGAGTCCTTACTGATTCCCTCCCACCTGCTGGGTCTCAGTGAGGCACAGAGATACCCCAGTGAAAAAAGCAAAGCCCCCTTCTCAGAGAGCTTACAATCCAATGGGGAGAGTCAATGATCAATAATTCTCAGTGCCTTATTGGCAAGTGGTGGCAGTAACGGCCCCATTGGATGTGGACCCCCAGGAGAGCACACAGAAAGAGCACTGCTCCCCCTTCCTTTCTGCCTATCGATGCAGACCCTCCCCTCCCCTCCCCCCCCACAGGACTGGCAGAGCTGGGAAGTACTGAGCTCTGTTTTAAGTTATGAAGTTGGTATTGACCTTAACAGTGATACCTGAGGATAAACTTGCCCAGGGAATGGAGAACTCACAATAGGATATATCTATCTCTATATAGATATATATATCTACCTATATAGATCTATCTATATATAGCTGCTGCTTCCTACCCGCTGTACAGAGGCATTAATAGTAACACTCAAGCACCAAAGGGGCTGTGCTCCAATCTTCTGACCAAACCTTACTTTGGACTAGATTTCTAAAAGTCATTGCCACCAACCGTGGGTGCCGCTCTGTGTGTAGCCAGTGTGGACGGCAAAGAAAAACTCAGGAGGAGAAAGACGGGAGAAGCTCCAGGGTCATCAGTCACAGTCGGAATAATAATAATTTCTCTCACGAGCTAACAATGGATTGTGGACATCGACGGACAAGCGCCAGAATGGATCCCCTTGCCAAGGAGTTGCCAAAGAGGCCCTGATGCAGCCCCACTGGGCACTGTGTGATTTCCAGACCTTCCGTTGGGAGCTTCCGGAAAGGCCTCTGTGGGCGGGGGGCACCAGAGGGAAGCCATGTGCTCCATGGCAGACAGGTGAATGGACAGGGGGTGGTCTCCCATCTGAGGAAGCACAGTATGAACCCTTCAAAGTGCAGGTGTAAGCCCGCAGAACGAATATCCTGAGCCATCAATTCTTCACTGAGCACCTACATTGTGCCAGGCTCAGGGCAAGGCTCTCGGGACTCCCTGAATATGCGAGAAAGGAATTTCTGCCCACGCAGAGATAACACGGCAGCGTCATGCCTCCATCGCTGCTCCGCTCCAGGCGAGGCACCTGCGCCCGGACCTCTCAGCTGTGACTGCTCTCGAAGCCAGGGGTCACGCGGTGGGGGCGAGGACGTACAACAGCAGGATGAGGAGCTCTGCCGGGACATGTGACGTCAGACAGTGTTTCGAGAATGCAGTATGAGGTGTAACGTGACGAAGCGTCCCTTGGTCAAAAGCGTCTGCAGACGTGCCGGCCGGACTCTTCAAGGGTCTTCAGCGTCTCAGAACACAGCACATCTCAAACTTAATACATCAGCGGCTGGCTCTGGGGACGGGGAAAGGCTGTGGGATTAGTGCTTCTAGGCACTTGCTCTGGAAAAGGCTGTTCCACAGGCAGGCGCGTGCAGCCCCGGAGGGTGGGAGAGAAGGGGCCGTGGCTTGAAGCCCACAGCAGCCGCCGAGCCCTGACTTCGTGGAAGGCACCGTTTGGGGCTGGAAACCTAAGGCCAGGCCCACTTGCCCCCAGCCTCCCTCCCAGGCCCTGGGACAACAGCCGGACAGCTGGACAGCTGAATGGTGAAGGCAGGCCCCTCTGGCAAGCGGCCTCAGGGAGAGGTGACCTGGAAGAGGTCAAACAACCACAGTGGGAGGCATGAGGAAACGCCTTAGCCACGGGACAGAAGAGGCCACAGGAGGCGGGAGGCCGCTACAACCAGCTGTGGAACAGGAAGGGGTGCTTGCACAACACGGGACTGCAGGGGGAAACGCAGGAGGGGAGGCTGAGCTGGAACACAGTGCCCATTTGGGAATGGCGCTAGGTATGTATGTGGAGTGGGAGTGCCCCAGTTCCTGAAAGTGCCAGTCACGTCCTCCAAAACTTCTCGGGCAGGAGCCTCTCCGGGCCACTGAGGGCCTCATCCTTGGCCCTGCCTCAGCACCCTGTAGCCTGTGGGCATCTGAGGTGGTGGGGGGGGGGGGGGGGGGTGGCTAGGCAAGGTGCACAGCAACACGCCCCCGTGGGTAGGTGCCGGGGACGGTGCTGGGGCCTCTTGGGCTTTCTGTGAGCACAGCTGAACATGGAGAGGGATGGGCCTTAGGTCACAGAAGGCTGTGCACCCCACGCTGAGCACTTGGGACCTGGGTCAATGACAGGTATTAAGCCAGACAGTAACATGATCGATGACTGGATGTACCTAAATCCTTCCCGAAACTTGAGGGCATAAATAAATAAAACACAACCAGAAAGGTCACCCCTGCACTTGTGTGGAGTATCAGCCAGGCGAGAGCTCAGAGACTGAGACCGGTTAGGAAACGTTGCTTTAGCCAGGACAGAAAGAGGAAGAGCCTCAACAAACCCAAATCAACGAAGAGGTGGGGCAGGAGGGAGGAAGCCACTCAGATCCCAAGGACAGCCTGACCATGGGGCAAAAGAGAGGGAAGAGGTTTCGATGATTCCCAGGTGTTCTCTGGAGTGTCATTCACCGAGACAGGAAGCACAGGAGGGGAGACCACCTGTTTGGAGGAAAGGACGAGCCTGCTTTTGGACACGGAAATGATGTGCTGGTCACACATTCACAGAGAAAAGGCTCGTGAGTCTGGGTCTGGAAGTCAGAAGAAAAATCTGAGCTAACGGTACATTCTCTGCCAATCATGGTCCCAGCAAGTGGCTGAGATCAGAGGTGGTCCATCCTCACATCACCAGGGTCAGTTCAGGTAC